CAGCTCCTCCATTCCACACCTAACTTTCAATCACAGACCTGCTCTGATTCTACTTCGTTTCTATTCCCCATATTGAGTCAACTCGAACGATACTGTTGATCTCGGTTATTCGAGGTACGATTAACCAGCACTGAGTCGATACGGCATCGGAGTAAAGTATCCCTGAAAATGGAATACTTCGATTTCGACGGAGCCTCGTTTGGCTCCCATGCCCCAGACGACGAGGTGGCTTCTGACAGGTTTGAGCTCGATGAGAACGATGCAATTGAAAACTACGAATCCCTTCTACATGAGCAGCCATTGGACTTTTCCAATGACCTGCCGGAGCAGGATGATCTCAACCAGCAGACTGAACCGCCATCAGTCAATGCGCAATCTATCAATGCTCTTCCAATTTATCGAGCCAAAGAGCCCTGCGACTTTTGCAGACATATGAATCTGGACTGCTTCGTTTCAGACAGAGGAGCCTTACAGAATGGCTGCACGTGCTGCATAACATTATTCCGAGAGTGCAGCTTCACGCACGTTAAGATGCCTGGCAAGTACATGGAAACTCTGCAGGCCATCTCAGAGAATGCAGATATTCCAACAGTTGGTCCAAAGGGGAGGAAGACGCTGAAATCACTTACGGGAATGACCATGCCTGAAGATATGGACGGCCGGGGGAGGAAAAGCAGTTCTCGTCTTTCCCGCGACGCCGTACGGATCCTCAAGACCTGGCTTCTGGAGCATCTTGACCATCCTTACCCGTCCGAGCAAGAAAAAGACGATTTGAAAAAGCGCACTGGCTTGAAGAGAACCCAGATTAGCAACTGGCTTGCCAACGCGAGGCGGCGTGGAAAGGCCCGGCCTTCCCCGCCCAGCAATTCTTCGGTTCCTGGGGCCATAGACATTCCCGGGCAGCAGCAACAGCAGCAACCAAACATCGCGCTCATGACGCCCCTTGAGCGATGGAAGTACTCTCCACCCGAAAACGAACCTGCTTCCACGACCGATATTCTGCGAGCCCTGGTGAACAACCCTTTGGATTCGGCACGACAGCCAGGTCACGTGCGTTCCCTTTCTCGGAAGGGATCCAGCAATGACTCAAGCCATGCGAACTCCAATATATTCAAGGCCCCATCCATCAGCAGCTTGGGTGAAAGTCGGTCTGTCAGTCGTTCATCCGTCTCTGACCTGTCCTTTGCCTCTGCTTTCTCCCATCGGTCCTTGGAGTCCTTTGGTTCAATGGAAAGGAAGGAACGTCGTCGTCGTCGCAAGCCATCGACTGCCTTGAACCCTTTCAATCAACAGAAGGCTCGCAACTCTCGTATATTCCAATGTACTTTCTGTACTGAAACCTTTGCTACCAAGTATGACTGGCAGCGGCACGAGAAGTCATTGCACCTTGCCCTCGACAAATGGACCTGCTCACCTCAGGGCGGTGTGGTGTACGTCAACGGAGCCAATCGGTGTGTCTTTTGCATGGCGAGTGACCCAGACACCGACCATCTGGAATCTCACTGCTATAGTACCTGTCAAGAGAAGACCCTGGCGGAGCGAACATTTTACCGCAAGGACCATCTCAACCAGCACCTTCGACTGATGCACAATGTCAAATTCAATTCATATATGGAGCAATGGCAAAGCTCAACCACAGAATTAAGATCACGCTGCGGATTCTGTGGCATCGTCCTCACGACCTGGAAGGATCGTGTGGAACACCTGGCTGCGCACTTCAAGAATGGTGCTGATATGACCCAATGGCAAGGGGACTGGGGCTTTGAACCATTTGTTCAAGGCTTAGTCGAAAATGCTATGCCCCCTTACCTTATTGGCGAAGATCGGAAAACATTAAACCCTTACACAACCTCCAAGCTTCTCGGACAGTCATGTTGTCCGCCAACGACTGCGTCTTCTGGTCTCATTGAACCTAACGACGTGAACTGTTTTCATCGTCTTCAGCGCGAGCTCACTGCATTCATCCGCAAGCATGTTGCAGAAGGCTCCATCCCGACGGATCAAATGATACAGGACCAAGCTCGGATTGTGATTTATGGCAATACTGATCCTTGGAACCAAACCAGCGCCGACAATCCAGTCTGGCTCAGTATCCTCAAGCGTGACACGGGTCTTGAAGTGGTGCCTGATTCGGAACATATTCAATTAGATAACTTGAATATGCAGCCCCCATTCGCGGCTCATGGCGGCCTAAGGCAGCCGCCAGTCGAAGGCAATCTTCTGGCAAGGTCATTATGCAACAAAATGCCTTTGAAACCCGAGAATTTCAGTCCTGCACTGCAAAGTCCTACGTTCCCTGGGACTCGTCGATCATCAGCTGCTCCGAGTATGCCTGGAAGCTCGGCTGGTAGTTTTGCTGGTAGCTTCGGAATTGCGCCGTCTGGGGTCAATTCTGGCCTTTCGACCGACTGGGGAAGCAACTTCTCGGCCGGTGTTTCTTCCTTCTCCACGCCTGCCAGTGGGTCAGTCGACCAGTTCGTTCAGATGGGGTTTGAGCCGGAATTTCTGCAACAACTCAATGATCGGTATGGTGAAATGCATATTGACGGAATGGATACAATAATGTTGGGAGTAGAACAAGAACATACGCGCAATAGCGCGTTGGTAGCCGGGGGCGAGGTGTACAAGCTGGCAGGCTCTACAGATGCTGCTGGACCGCTCTCTAGCGTTGGGTCGGCACCTATCGATATTCCCAGTCCGAAACAAACTGGAGTCGTCACCCATCAAGATCAAGCGTCGATCAGAGATCCGCTCTATCCTAGCGTTAGTGGGATTTGAGTCCACATGAGAGACATTAGCGTCTGATGAGTGCGTGTCACGCAATCTGGACATGACTTGGTCGAGAGAGGTCGTGGGAAAAGTTTCCTTTTTCTTCTGTCTCTTCTTGTCTTCCCCGTGTATGCATTGAATGAGAAAATTGTACGTCGTTATAAACTGCAGCGTTAGTCCTTATATACCATTTAGATTTTCTTTTATCTAATATGCTTCGACCTGATCATGTCAAGGGCGTAGAAGCACGCAGAGAATGCCCCAGGCTCATTGTGTGATTGGGCGGCCTACCACTGTCATTGATAGGGCGCGCAAGTGACAAACCGTGCTCGACCCTCTGACCACAGATGTTTAGTTAGTTAACTCAGTAGCTGCCTTAGTCATGTTGGATAAGTGGTTACACTTTTTCCACTGCTTCTAACTATTGATAGCAATTATTAGTCATATAGGTGCTGGTTTTCGCTCCCTGTTTATTATCGAGAAGTGCATTAGTCGCTTTTGTTTTGTTTGCCACGATTGGGTGGTGATTGACATGTGAAAGCCAGCCGTTGCGCCAACGGTTTTACCTGCATATTCGGACATTTTCCATGTTGCTTGACATCTGCAGCTAAAATTCCTCGCTCTTTCACATGTGGTCTCTCAATATGTTGAATCATCCAGGTCTCACCGTCTTCTGAAAGACTTGCGAGACCTACGTTTTTGATGTCCTGTACTCCGTACTCGCCAGAGTCTGATAGCTGTGTCAATCAGCTCAACCGAGAGAAAAGTCTAAATGGATCCAACAATATCAAGAACTGCTACCATGGCATATTCAACTGGTCTTCCTGTTTTACTTCCCGCACTTCCTGCTGCGATTAGGAGGCGGATCCCGCGCCTCTATTCCTCTCTTCACAGGGCCATGGGATCGGCCGATCGCGATCGTTCGGACACAGCGACTGATGGGCTGGTAGGGCCGACGCGACAAGCGGATGGTCTTCGCACATTGGCACCATTGTCAACACCTGACTTGGGTTATTGCAGACCGCCATCGTCTGCGGCGAGTGACTTGGGGGCCGAAGAGCCTCCGCGCCCCGCGACAGCGGGGAGTAGTGTTTGTCCGGAGTCGTGCGATTCGAGGTCCTCGGCTTCGTCTTCGTCGGGGAAGACATTGGAGGCAATGGATCTCGATGAGGGGAGGGATGGCGAAGCGATGGATAGGGGGTCGATGCTGGCGAAGTACGAGGTTGAGTCTGGGTTGCGGTGGAATCGGGTGGTTCCTGGTATGCGTCTTACGTCTTCTCGCACATGCCATGAGCGGTCGTCGTGATGTGGAAGGATGCTAACATATCGACAACAGCGTTGAATCTGCTCCGCAACGCGGGATACGAAGCTCAGCAATCCACCTGCGACGGCCGCTTCGTCCGCTCCCTGTACATCAATGCGCTGGGGTACCTGCTCGACGCTCTGCCGGCAGATCTGACTGACGAGGAATCAATGACCATTCACCACAATCTTCCAGCCAGGGTCAAGACCACGCTTGCGACGTCCGCGGCTGCGCAACCCGGAGCCGGAGCCGGTGTTACCATGGTCAATCAGGGCGCTGGGACGCGGTACCCGACGGAGCGCTCGTACCTGCATCGTTTGCTGGCGTCGAGTATTGTGCAGATCTTTCTCATCGTGCAGTTCTTGCTGCCGTATGTGAAGATCTTGCTGCATCAGGTGTACCGATATGAGAGATCACATCGGATCACGGAGCGTCTTGTGGCGGCGACATTGGATGCTGCTGATAGTCTGGGCAAGGGGAGTGTCAATTTGGGGTCGACGGTGCTTCGACTGAACGAGGGGAAAGTCGGGACAGCGTTTACGAATCTAGCAGCCTGGTGGGTGGAGGGATTTGCTGGTGGAATCTATGAGGGAGTTGGAGAAGGAATGATGATTTTGGGGCTGATCCGGCCCAATTCTGAGTGGGAGAGGATGCCTATTCAGATGCAGGGGCGGTGATTCCGATGTGCAGTCGTAGATTATGATCTATTAGAACGACATAGACTTATATATAGAATCTGAGACGAATTGATGACTTCAAACCACTCTCTACACTCCTCTGTTTATCTTGATATGACCGCGGAGATAACGGACTTAGGATCTTGGTTGTGGGGGCCAACGTCCACAATGGCGTCTCTCAGCATCAGCTACTCGTACAGGAGGAATATATGCCGAAATTCACTTCGACGATTGACCAACCCATCAGCACAATGTCCTCATCCAGATTACCACATATCCCTGCTCTACGTAGACAACAACTCCTGCTTGAATTGTGAGTATGACTGCCTCTCCCTTGAACGGTACCGGCAATGTTGTGTTTGCTAAACGTCCCTCCTGCAGTGCCAGCTTGAAACATGCAGCTCCCCCGGGAATCTACATTTCCATCACGCCAGGCGATCCTACTCTGTGGTCTGGCGTGATATTTGTGCGGTCGGGTATATTTGCCCTGACCCCATTGTCTGCATAGACTCGAATTGACTCAATCACAGGCCCCTATGCCTCTGCTGTCCTCCGATTCCAGATTCGATTTCCCGACTCCTATCCCGAGCTTCCACCCCTCGTCACCTTTTCGACTGACGTTTTCCATCCTTTAATTGTACCCCTTACTACATATACCTTCAGTACGGGCGCGTCGACCGAAGACCCTGTTAGCGCGACGGACGAGGAGCGACTACCCCCCGGTGGCTTCAGTCTCCGACATGGCTTCCCTCACTGGTTTGGGAGGGCAAGGAAGACAGGACGACAGTCAACGGGTTCATCCAGGCCAGTGAGTGCGAATGGACGGAATGCTGGTGAAGAGGAGACGACAACGGCGGATGGCCCTTCTTCTCCCTCCTCACGTCAGCCCAATGGTGCAGAGGAAGGCGAGAATCTCACCAAGGACAAAGGATCCGCTTCGGACGCAAGAAAAACGGTACCAGTAGCAGTGCTACTGAACTATATCAGATCAACGTTTGACGATGAGAACGTCCTCGACACTTTGCCTCTCGAGGCCGCGGGAAACCCAAGCGCGTGGCACGCATGGAAGGCACACAGAAGAGAAAATAGTGAATCGGCGACGAGCAATTCCAAACGAGGGAGTCCGCAGGCTCGGCTTCCTGGTGATTGGCACTGGGACGGTATTTGGGCGAAGCGTGTTCACTATGAGATTGAGGCTAGTCATTCGGATCAAATATTGTTTGGAAATGCTCGCGGGGCCACCGATGAGATGGTATGTATGCTTCGATTATCTTCTATGGGTACGTACTGACACCGACCCGGTAGATACGCTTCTCTCGTTTGGATGATGCCACGTTGGCTTCGATCAAAGAGATGATAATTCCTTCAGTCGGGGACGCACATGAATAGTTTCATTTCCGGATATGATTCCACTAGTGCAGGCTGGTCCTCGACTGCCGGTATCCTTGCAAAGCGGCGAATACATTACCCTGGCGTCGCTGCCTGGGAGATATCCTTCCCAGACTTAGGGCACATCCCAACTCGCACTTGCCCTTAATATTCGTCCCAGGACAGTCTTCAACACCTCTCTCACTCTTGATCTTCCCAAATGCAGGGAGCATCCTCCACTTTTCAGCAAACCAGTACCAATTGCATCTTAGAGACGTTTTGGATAACACTAATCATGTCCAACGACTGGTTCTATCGATACCAAACTACCATTCTCGCTGTCGTCCTAGTTTTCGTCCCTATAATTGTGCTCTGCAGCATATTCATGACTGCTCTTGCATGCTCCGAATACTGGTCTACACGACGGGGCTGCAGTTTCTCTTACTTTACTTGCATCTGTGGTCTCAGGTCGAGAGGCCAGCGCCAGAGGAATCATTCTAATACCGATGACGCCAACTCCACTGAGAGGACTGAATCATCGCGGCCGTCGGCTGAAAACAAGAATCCAGTCTTGAGAACTGAGCAAGCTTAGAGATACCGTTAGCTCTTCGCGTATGGTCTATCGCAGGAATTTTCACGGTTTATGTGCTGACGTTGCTTAAGTCTGCGCAGGGACATTGCTCATGATAATGCCATGGCCAGTTCGCTCAGACACAGTGGTGGGCCGCACACCATTTTCGAAGCATTCAATCTTGCTCCGCGGCGAGCCTGGAGATTCTGTCACATGAAACAAAGCGGAAATGGAGGTAGCAACAAGATATGCAGGACTTGCCAGCCTAATGTACATAAAGACTGTCCTCTGAATAGGAGCAGTGCTACCTCCTTGAACACCGAAGTTCCTTGAGTTGATGTATCTTTACCATTTGTTGAACCAAAAAGTCGATGCAAACCCTATTATGGTTTCAAAGCTAGACGAAGGAATGCATCACGGTCACACATGCTTCTAATTAAACTGGACTACTGTCGTCTACGATCTAGATCGAAGGCTGAGCATACCATGTCTTGTTCAGACGACTCTCTAATGTCCTGTTGCTATTGACGTCTCAGGGCGTTGTTCTCTTTGCTGCTGTTGTACATAGTTCGAGTACTGTTCCTACTAGCATACCACACATATCCAAAAACAAATAGTCACAGCTTTAGTACTTGCCAATGTATAAAGTAGCTGAGGATCCAAAATATAAGTGATCAATCGGGCTACCGAAAGAGTCAAGCGCTACTCCCATTGGGGTATATTATCTTTCATGTACCCCACACCATACGAGGCCAACTTTTGCTTCAGACAACATTGCTTATCGCACGCTTTCTCACACCTCCCAATTCCACAAAACCGCAAACAACACAATGGCCGACTCCAAGGAAACCATTTTGTCGCAGGTCGACGACACCACCTCCGACCCGCCACCGGCCTACGATGCCAGCGCCGCACCCACCCCTCGCCTTCCACGCCCACCACCCCTCTCCCTCCCCGTCCTCAACTCCCTTCGCACAAAACGCGTAATCCTCGCATCGTCCTCCCCCCGGCGCCGCCAGATCCTCTCCTTCCTGGGCCTCCCCTTCGAAGTCATCCCCAGCAATGCCGCCGAGGACTTCCCCAAGACAATGGAACCCTTCGAGTACGTCCTCGCAACAGCAACCAAGAAAGCACAGGCCGTGTACTCCGCCGAAATCGACAACGAGGAGAAGGGCGAGCCGGCGCTGATCCTGGCCGCTGATACCGTCGTGGTGGATAATCTCTCCGGATCGATACTGGAGAAGCCGCGCTCGGAGGCGCAGCACATCGCCATGCTGAAGATGCTGCGCGATAATCGGGTGCATAAGGTGTACACAGCGATGGTGGCGATGGCGCCGCTGGAGAGCGCGCGGGAGCCGGGGTATGCGATTGAGACGCACATCGAGGAGACGGATGTGGTGTTTGATCGGGAGGTTACGGATGATTTGATTGTGGCGTATGTGCGCACGAGAGAGGGGGCGGATAAGGCCGGGGGGTATGGGTTGCAGGGCTTGGGGTCGATTCTTGTGGAGAGTATCCAGGGGAGCTGGGATAATGTTGTTGGGTTGCCGTTGAAGGCGGCGTTGAAGTTGATTGAGAAGGTGGTGGCGAAGGCGAATGATGATGATGATGGGGGTGAGATGTTGGAGGGTGAGGAGGATGAGGAGTAAGGAATAGACAGGTTGAGTTGATGATATCCTTTTGGTATGATACTACGCTGGTCGTTCGCTATAGATTCCATCGATGTGACAAGGGCAACGGTATAGAGAAAGTCTTCGGTTTACATTTTACAGCTCAGCCAGTTAGCAGACTAGGGTTGACGAGACAAATAGAAAATTTGGCACATGTACATAGGCAGACGCCTGGGAAAGAATCATCGAAATCAAACGCAAAACTCAAAAAACACCCTCAAAGATCGGTCTATGCCTTCCACACCCGCTTGATGGCCTCTGTGATACCAACGTCGTTTGTCTCGAATTCATACAGACCGACGGCGGTGGTAACAGTGAAAGCACGCAGTAGCCAGGTCATGAACGTCTTGGTCTTGGGGACGCGGCGCCCGGGGAAGTAGTCGATGATAGAGGCTCTGTGACGTGTTAGTTCCGACTGTCTGTGGAAGGTCGAGCTGCTAGAACATACTGGAAACCAATGTGGGAGTGGAGGACCAGCAGAGAGCAGAGGACGGAGTCCATGACGGGGTTCAGGGAGCCGGCAGCGAAGGGAGCGATGGTCAGAGGGATCAGTCCGACAGAAACGAGTCTACATCCGTGTCAGCGTCGATTGCCTAGATTATACCCCTCCATCTGGGTCTTCATAGACCGAGTTACGCATCCGTACGCACCTCTCAAACGTCCAGTGGTAGCTACCCTCCGAAGGATGAGGCTTGGGAATAGGAGCAGGGTCGTTCACTGGGAGAGTCTTGTGTCAGTCCAGCGTTCTTCTGTTTCGAGTATGAAAGGTGCATGTATCGAATGCTGCGGACTGCGAATTTGGCTGCATAGCGGCGTGTATTTCGGTCCCGCATCTCGAAAAAGCATTGATGCTGTTAACCAAAGGGGTCTTCGACATACTTGTTCCCTGAATGACCTCTGTACACAACCTGTTAGCTCTATTTCATTCAATACACCCCTCCTGATCCACGCAACATTCCCACAATCACCACTTATCACCATCATAACCCTCATAAGCAAATCAAGGAGTGACTCACGAGGCAGAGGAGGCAGGATCTGCTTCTTCGCAGAAGCATGGAAGGCCACAACCTGCGACACGTTCTTGTTCACCAAGGGCGACCGGAAGGCAGACAGGCAAGAGTGCCTAGAAAGGAGCGACTGGCGCGCAATCGAAGCCATCGTGACGATCTGCTGAGAACTCAATCCAAACAATATCCTAAAGCGAGCTGCACTGCAGACCTGAGGGCGTTTAGGAGTCCTGAACCTTAGGTAGTAATTCGATGTGCACGCTTGAGATCGTGAGGTTGAATTGGAACCTCGGGAATCCGATTCGGGATGCGGTCATCACATTGTGCGCACTCTGATTCGCTAGTGGCTCTCCGCCCAGCCGAAAATGGCCGATGTTCCGGCAGATGGATTTGTTTGGTCTTTTTGAATGCTTCAGCTGTCAACTGTTCAGCATTGTACTCGGACTTAAGTATGTCGATATTTGTCTACAGATACTGAGGCTACAGAGCTATTTCCGGGCTACATGTTTTCACTGACAATCGCAGCGGAAGTCGCTGTCCCACGTGTTCGGACGTCAATAACCGGAGAACCAAATCTGAATAATGTTTTTGCGCCAGGCATATGTAATTCATTTTCGCTCATATCTCGTCATAATGTGTCTATGAGATGATTATATTTTCCACCAAATTACCTCCCATCTAGAACTTCAGAACGGCCTTGCCCTTGTTCTTACCGTGGAAGATGCCCACCAGACCCTCGGCGGCGTTGTCGATGCCGGTGGTCTCATGCAGGAGGGACTTGAAGGATCCCTCCTTGATCCACTTCTGCACGTTCTTCTGGTGCTCTTCAGTGTACTTGTCACCCATTCCAGGGTCGCTGACGATGAAGCCACGCATATCAATACGCTTGATCAACACATTGTGGATGTTCTTGATGGGGTAAGGAGCCGCGTTGTATTGGGAGATCAGGCCGCAGACAACGACACGACCGAAGTTGTTCAAGGCGTCCAGAGCGGCCTCGAGGTGCTCGCCACCGACGTTCTCGTAGTAGATGTCGATACCCTGGGGCGCCAGGCGGGCCAGGGCATCAGCGGGCTTCTCCTTCTTGTAGTTGAAACCGCCATCGAAGCCCAGGTCCTTGATGATGTACTCGAGCTTCTCATCGGAACCAACACTGCCGATGACCTTGAGACCCTCGTGCTTAGCTAGCTGACCAACTAGCTGTCCGACAGCGCCGCTGGCAGCGGAGACGAAGATTGTCTCGCCCTTCTTGGGCTTACCAATCTCGTAAAGGGAAGAGTAGGCAGTCAAACCGGGCATACCCAGAGCGCCAAGGAACACACGGATGTCCTCAATGCCAAGGGGGTTCTCTAGAGGGCGGATGCGGGCAACCTGGGCGCCATCGAGGACGATGTACTCCTGGATGGGGACGAATCCGATGACCAGATCACCTTCCTTGAAGGAAGCATTGTTGGAGCGGAGGACCTTGGCAATCGTCGAGCTGTCGATGGGCTTGCCAAGCTCAAGAGCGGGAGAGTAGGACTTTACGTGAGGCTCGCGCATACGGCCACGCATGTAGGGGTCGAAGCTGGTGTAGAGCGACTGTAGGACAACGCCATTCTCGGGGGCGGGTGTGTTGGCGTCATAGTCGACAGGCTCGATGGTAAGGTGCTCGCCAGGGACGGGGTATCCTTGAGGGACTTTCTTGAAGATAAGGGCCTTGTTTGAGCTCATTTTGGCAGTGAGTGTATGAAGTGTATGGAGAGTATTGGGGGAATGATGTGTATAGAAAGCTTCTAGAGGGGTCTCGATAATAAATAGCTAGTCTGTAGCTACGAAGAGCGGATCTGATTTATATACTGTACCTCCCTAACAGCCTAGGTACGTAGCACACTTTTCCAAAAGATAAGCGGGGCAGAGTCAAATTCAACGATGTTGAATAATGATAAATCTGCCTGGATTATCAAGCAGCGAACACCAGGGAAGCTTCTTGAGAAATCAAAAAATATGGAAAGTACCTAGGCAACTCGCCTGGCCGAGGGGCTCCTTAGCAGCGGGGTGGCACCCAGCCGCTGAGAGCCGGAGACTTAAAGGTAGCATATTTCCAAGGATCCAAGTCTTCATGGCTGGATGAGTGGAGCGATCGGGAGAATTCATGTCCATCCCCGACGGGTGAAAGACACTTTCTAGGAAAGAGAACCGTACACTGGGACTGGCGAGTGGCATGGGTGTTGCGCAACGATGAAACGGCAAGGCGAGACATCATGATTTTTGTACGGAGGTGTTCCCTAAAGCAGCCATGCTGCTCGCTACGCATATCGGGGATGATCACAATAATGCACGTTAATGCATTGCCAGTTTGGCCGAGCTGCAGGCATCGATATTTTGCTTAATAATAAAATACAACATGGTATGATTAGTTATTATTCTGTGCTGAGTCTTGAGGTAAAGGAATTAGGTAGCCAGACAGTTACCTCTCGTATTAGACACAGAGGTAAGCACCTTAAAGTAACTAGGTAGACTATTGCGATATTACCTTCCTAGATACATCATAGATGAAGTCATTATCCGCGTAAGTTGCATCTCATTCCTGGCTAAAATTAGTAAGCTCATTGCGCGTTGACTAGCCGCTTCGTTCTAAGACTTCATAGCAAAGTTGATCTTCAGTAACCTTTCTAGATTCGGTCTTCGTTATTGATGTTGTTTGATAGCCAATCTGAATTACGGGAAAGTTAAGAGCATTTCACGCCACAAGTTTAATACTAGGACTCTGTGTACATCTGCGCTCCCATTTCAAGGGTTTTATTGAGGAGATGCAGTTCCCAATCGCTTGAACAGCTCAAACCCTCAAAACGTGCACGCGAGCGCTTGTTCTCTATCATCGATCTGGAGTATCGAGTCAACCGTGCATTCGATCACCTGATGGGAAAAGTGGAAGGAAGGACTCCATGGTACAACACCAACATTATCATCAATCCTCGACGGTTGTACTCCGTAGACATGTCGAACCCAATATTACTCAGAAGTGAGAACAACGGCTCCAACAATCGAAAATCTATTTACGAGAAGTTGCCTCAGCAATCTCCTATTGAGACAGATGCCACAGTCTCCTCCCTTTGTCAACTTTGCACACAATAGACATGACTGAGAGACTGTAGCATTTGATAGTAGCACGCAAGTCACACCGTACTTGTTTTGACCCATCGCCTGTTCATTCGCGTATTCCCGATGCTGCAGCTATCTACTTGGTGTATTGTTGTGCCTGAGGCCACTCGGCCAATCATAAATACATTTGCCCCAATCTCGCCGCCAGAATCTCACCGCCTGCAGTCTCGAACTTTTTCTGCCGCTATTTTTCCCTTTCCCAGAAATGATTTGAAGTTTCAGACTGTGGCTAATCCTGCATCAGCCAACATCATTTTGAGATTGTTTTCATCTCGATTTTTGTTTTTCTGGGTTTAATTGCTGATATAGATTATCAGTTATATCCCCCCTCTACTGATTTAATGATGTTGGGCGCAGTTCGCCGTTATGGCGTTGTCCACGCTCTGCGAGCCTCCGTCCCCCGTACCCTCTGCAAATCGTCGAATTCGCAGCTCTTAAGATGCCAGATTTCTCCTATCACAGCCTTCCCTCAGTCTGTTCGATTGCTGCATAAGTCGTCGCCTCTCTTTTCATCGGCATCTGCTCAAGCACAGGCGCAACCTGATGACTTCGAGTCTGCTGCTCCGCAGCAGACATTGACCGAGTTCGCCGACTTGGCTGAGCAGGGACTGGTGGACCCAAAGATCATTCGCGCAATTGTTAAAGATATGAAAATCAAAACCATGACCGATGTCCAAAGCCAGACCTTGCGCGAAATTTTGCAAGGAGATGATGTGTCAGTATATGCTCTCGCCTCTCAAAGCCCTTTTGACCCAAACTAACCGTGCATCTCTTTCTACAGTTTGGCCCAGGCAAAGACCGGTACTGGAAAAACCCTTGCCTTCCTCA